ATGGATGGATGGATGGATGGATGCATGGATGGATGCATGGATGGATGCATGGATGGAAGTATGCATGGATATTATACCTTTTGCAATCACTCTTGTAGCAGAATTTCGTCTTCTTTTTCAGACAATTTGGATTTTGCTTATTGCGTTCTCCTACACCTGGATCTACACTACATTGCGCTAAAAATGAAGAAAAAAAATTAATTAGAAAGAGAACTTTATAACGTAGGACGGACAAAAAAGAAGACTGAATACAAGAGTTTCGAGTTCTCTATTGCTCAGAGCATAGTTAATAACTATGCTCAGGGTTAGAATCCATTTTGAGTTAAATATTCACGTGCTCCAGTGAAGGTCCGTGAAATTTTGAAAGTGTTTGTGTTGTTGAAGATGTGTATTCTTTATTTTACCGTTGGTATTTGTCAATATTTAGACAATGATACGAGGCTAATCCTGAGTAAATGACTCTAACGCCACAGGAAACCCAAATTTCTAAAAACATTTTCGTTGTATTTTCTGGCTCAAAAAACCCAGACTTTTGGCACATTTAAGAAAATGTCACTGACGCCACACACAGTCGTAGTTGGACTGGATGTGCTCATACATTTACTGTATTTTGTCAAGTTCAACCAGAACTAAGTGAATTTGGTAAGGTCTATTTCCGAACCTACTGTCTACGTTTCCAAGACCTTATCGTTGTCAGTGGAGGGGAACCCTGTGGTATATCAAAGGTGTTACCTTGAACAGGTCGAGGTGGTAGAATAGCAGGTTTACAGGTATAGCCTCCACAACCATCATTACAACACTTTCGTGTACCAGTACAATCAATGTCCATGTAGCATTGTTGCGCCTTTACGCCACAAACGATATTCCCTTTTGGCCGTGGACAACGCCCTTCTTTAGCTGAACTATAGCCTAAGTAAAAATCATACAAGGCTTGAGATGGAATAAGGTTAAGAATGCACATAATTTGGCTAATACCCCTCTTTACATAGGACGTAATGTTTTGCCATTTCATACCACGTAACGTTCTCTTGAGAATAAGATTTTTTATTTGAGTTGTATCTATATTCATGTGTTTTTTCATGCGCAACCGTCAAACAAAGAAATGACCTGCGGCGAAGAACGAGGGTTCTGGTATTCATTTTTTTAACCAGGGTTTCTTGGTTCTTCCAGTATAAGAGCGCATGCGTTCAAAGACGTGCCAAAAATAAAAATATTTTTCCGGAATTCTGTTTAAAAGCATGATTTTCATTGATTATATTTCACTTCCGTAAAATTGCGCATGCGCCAAAGAATGGATTATGCCAGAGCCCTCGTTCTTCGCCGCAAGCCAGAAGAAACGCAGACTCTGGGTACGAGAGAAATGATACTCTATGGCATGACACGTGGTCTGAAGTGGAAAAATATTACGCCCAAGGTAAAGAGGAAAAAAAAAATGTTAGGAATCAGCACTTCACTGCAAGTATGTGCATTTAGTCTAATGTTTTCGATAAGAACAATTTTCTTGGATGAGTCATTCTAATCATAAATTACAAAAGCCATAATATGACAAACAACTTGAGATATCATCTTTATATCAATCTGATAGTATTACGAAACATTTAAGTTGTATGACATGGTTTAACCTTTTAGAAAAACCGCCGGCATCTTTAGGATTAATTCTAGTTATAAGCCCAACTTATATCGCATTCATGGCACTGATGCCGCATGAAAATGGAATTAAAGAAAAAAAA